CAAATCTGGAAAATACAAAATTTAATATACGTAGCCTTCTCAGCTAATATTAATGAGGGACACAACTGCTACTAATATCTGAAGGGTGTTAACAAGAAGAAAGAGGCATAATTACTTAGCACCATTCCAGTAAACATAATTAGGAATAATGGTATGCAATTAGGAAAAGAAAAATTGAGTCACAACAACGAGAAAGTTCCTCTGTGCTCATGACATCTATTAAACTGTGCCATCCTGTCCCAAAGCAACTGGGTGGAGTACTGTTCTCTAATGCACATGAAATAAATGAAAGTAGGCTGCAAAAAGAACACCTCATAGTGCCTGCACAGAGAGAAAGAAGAGGCTGTGAGATTCTGAATAGATCTGTTTCACTGATTTTGTTTCTTTGATTGGCATCGCAGTGAACAGAATGAAGTACCAAGGTCTCTGCTGTGAATTTGTGTTGTTATTTTCTGTGCCTGACCTTACTGTTTTGTGTGCTTTTGAAATCCAAAGCATCTGTGCAACAGCTGTTGGCAACACTGTGTCCATCTCAGTCCAAGGTCTTGAGGTCTTTTCTGTACATAAAAGGTAAAAACTGACAATGGAAATCACACTTTTAGGGCAATTAGAGTGTTTAGTATTCCTTTCTTCCACCTGAAACATCTTGGTGAACTCCTTTTAAAAATGGATGGGGATTAAATAGTGATCTGTTGCTGGATAAGAGGAGGACAAACGAGGGTGACTGCTCCTGGCTTCAGGACTCCAAAGTGGTTGTCATGAAGGTAGGCAAAGAACACAGGGATCAAAGGCCTATTAGAGAGCCCTCAGGCTGTTAAATGGAGAACTAATGGTAAAGAGAAAAGGGTAAAAGGAATTGAATGGTAAGTTTTTACAGTCTACTCTCAAAAATGCCAATGCTCCAATTCATTCTTGATGCTTTAATAACTCATAAGATGTTTAGGCTTTGGTAGCGAGTGTGCACATTTCAGGAACAGGAGTTGGCTGTAATGTAAATATTCTCTGACTGATTAGTATGGAAATGGCCTTTCCTCCCTGCTTCCCTTTGAGATGCTGAAAAGAAAGTGACCTGATAGATGCATGAATTATGTATATTCAGGAAACAGAGCTACTAAAAATTGAAGGAGAGAGTACTTATTTTATATTGTTTTGCGCTTTCTCTGCAGTGGATATCTGCTTAAGTTAGTTGTGGTTAATTTATGAGGGCTGCTGTCTCTCTATTTAATCTTCAGGGCACAGAAATTTGTTTTTCACTCCTTTATTTTCAGATATTTTAGCATGTTTCTGGAAAACTAGCTGATCTGTGTTTCTTTATAGGAGTAAAAAGCATTTAGAACTGCTATGATTTAGTTTGAAATGTATACATTCTACTGAATTGTGTTTCTCACTCAGAATGCCAAAATGTTTAAGTTCCCTATCTTACATTTATTATTTTAGTGAAGATGTGATTTGCTAATGCAGTCTTTTAACAATCAAATATTTGTGACTTACAGTAGCATTTATCATGGCTTCTTAAAGGAAGGCTTATAAAATGTTTAACAGCTCTTGGTAGCTTAGTAAGGATTCAGTGCACACAAATTATTTTATTCCTATGATGAGGGTTTTTTTAATAATTATGGCTTTGATTGTTATATAAACTATATAAGATAACAACCACAGTGTTTTAATATAATAGCAATCTTTTAATTTAACACTTTATCTAAACTGACATTGTGAAACGGGAAGAAAAGGGCTAAAGTTACAGGGAAAGTGAGAAGGGTAGGGGAAGGGTAATAAGGGAAAAATATGAAAAAATGGAAATAAAGCGTTTGTAAATGGGGAGGGGAGGAGGGGGTGAAGGGAGGGCAGGGACAAGGAGAAAAAATGAGAACCAAGACCTGTCATGTAAAGGTACAAGATCCCAACAATGAATGTAACTGTACTGCATACCTAAAACATACCAATAAACTCAATAAAAGAAAAAAAATTATCTAACAGAAATTAAGTCACTGAGAAAAAGAGAAGATAGGAAAGTTTTCATCAGAGTGTTGGAAAAATCAATCAGTATGTCTCTTGATGGGGTTTATCCCACATTTTCCTAGGTTGCCCAATAATTAACCCAGCAGAATGAGCTCAATCAAGCCTAGTTGGATTCCAAGGGGGCTGCTTCCACCTTTCCAAAAAAGCTATTTCCTATTGCTAATTTCTAGCACAAAAGTTCTAGCATCTCTTTCCATCATGTATATCCATCCCTGTAGATGAATAGAAAAATACAAGTTTGAAAACTTTCTCTACAGGATAGTTGGTCATGATGTTTGCAGACTACGTATTTGTGCCCGTTTTAACATCTAGGATAATGAGAGTTCAGAGGACTGCACAGCTTGTACTTGTTTGTTACTTGCAAGTTTTGTCCCGGTGAAGCCTGTATCTGTAGCATATATGATATGTGTCTCCAGACGCTTTGCAGAACAGATTGAGGTGGGGATATATGTCACTAAGGAGATATGGATTCTGAGAGTAATTAATTTACCTTGTAGAAAGAAAGCATGAATGGTGAGAAACACTCAAGAAATGGAAGTCATTAACAGCAAAAATTCAGTTTTATCTGGCTCATGTTACAAGTAAAATTCATGTTGATCAAATATCATCTGTTATGGCTTGTGTTTCGATGTCCCCCCAAAGCCTCATGTGCTCATATGCGGAGAGTTTTGGAGGTGACTGGATCATGAGTGTGGAAAACTGGTTTAGGGTATATGATAGTGGGATTAAGGGTGTGTGATAAATAAATTGGGTTAGCATAGTTCTGGTGTGGATCATGGAAGTCCCACCTGGATGTGGATGGCACCAATCAACAGGCTTTTAGCCTGGATGGAATATGAAGGGAGAAAAGAATGCAAGCTGCTGCTGCTGCTGTTTTGTTCCTACCTGCCCTGCCCTAGACTATTTCTCCTCTGTGACGCATCTCTGCTGTGCCACTCTGCCTTCGAGCCAGTTTCCTATGGATTGAAACTTCTACAAATTATGATCTGAAATAAACCTTTCTTCCCTTAACTTTAGGTAGGACTCATGAAAAAAATGACTAAGGCAGCGTTGTCCAAGGAGACTAATGCACAGAATCTCAATTTTATTTCTTCCTTCTTTTATTCTCTTTATCATGATGGAATCTACCAATTTCTACGTCTTTAAGTTCTGTTGCCAAAGATTGGGTTTTGAAGGAAATGAGTTCTTCTCACCAAAATGTTACTATGTTCATTGAAAATATTGCACACACAGACACATTTTAGTGTTATCTATTCTAATTAGAAATTATCTGCTGCTAATTTGAAATGAATGATACACTATGAAATGAGAATTCAAGTATAATTAAGTCATACTTAATAAGAAACTGGAAAATATAAAAAACTCCCCCCTTAAAAAGGTTCAGATGAACAAGTGATAATAACAAAGAATCCAAATGATATCGGATGTATTAGAGAAAGAATATTTGAGAGAAGGAAGAAATTGTTATTCCATAAAACCCACTAAAATAGAAAATACAGAGAGAAATAAAATCATTCCTATGTGACATTGAAGAATGCCCGTTTCTTTACAAAAAGTATTAAAAATAAGTAGGTCATAAAGATGAGAATCTAAAATGCTATGATATTGGCTCCTAATCTTTAAATGAAATTCTAATTTGACTCTTGCAAGGAGAGGAAACGAATATGGTATGTTTTCCATGTGAGTTGTCAAAATGATAAAACTGAATACTCTCCGAATCAGCTTTTCCGTGGACAGCTGGTTCATCATCATTAGTATGTATATCCTTATTAATATCTAGGCCAGTCAACTCTGGAAGAACTAGATTGTTGTTCTTTTAAATTTAGTAATACCCTAATCGATTGCCAAGATCTATACAAAAATATCACGCTATGATCAACAAAGAAATAACGCCATTTGTTCTTTCTGCTTCTAAAAGGTAAAAATACTTTGTGTATCATTCTGCAAACAATCTAAAGATTTGTTTAATAGTATCGATCATGGCTTTCTATTTAGATAGCTACATGTCTGTGTGTTCTTTTTGAGGAGTTCGACATACTATGTGAGCTGGAATACTTTTTCTCAGCTGGCTGAAGTAGCCTGAGGACAAAGGGAGGTCCTTCAATTTTTATTTTTTTGTTTTTGTTTTTATTTTGAGACAGGGTCTCACTACGTACTTGAGGCTGACCTGGAACTCACTATGTAGCTCAGGCTGTTCTTGAACTCACAGCGTTCCTCCTGCCTCAGCCTCCCGAGTGCTGGGATTACAGTTGTGCCCCACCACGCCCAGCCTTCAATTTTTGGATGAACAGGATGAAAACGATTCATCATAGGATCTGGGTCCTGTACCTTAGTCATATTTCCTGGGATCATTAGCTTCTTATATCTGGAAGTACAAATTTTATGTCCAAGAAACTCAACTGATCAATTCTAGCATTCACTGCCAATCTTTAAATTGAAGCAAAGACAATTAAGTGAATTTCCAAAGGACACAAGCAATGATAGGTCAAAAATTTAGATTAAAAAAAAAACCCTAGAACTCTTCCATCAACTGCATTCATGAACATAACATTTTTCCTCGAGTCTCTTTGCAATATGGCCGTCCAGGTTGCCCAATGATATTATATGACTTTTAGTAACTGGACTCCAAGAACAATAGAGGTTCCTTCTACCTTTCCTCTCTCCTTTTTCACATTTTATTTTTCCCACTAGACTGAGGATCACTGAGGCCATGTTAATAACAGCTGTGCTTTAGTTCATTCCTCTGAAATCGAAAGTGTTTTTCTTTTTCTTGTTTTTCAAATCCCATATTCTGTATTTTAAAATAAAAACCCATCATATTTTGTGTACATATAAGCATGAACAAAAGTAACTGCTGCCATGACTGTGCAGCGACTTCACAGAGGTCAGAAAATCTGAATGTCACAGGTCGCCAAGAAGTTCCTTCTGTGACCTCAGCACAACTGTGCTGAGGAACGTAGATCTTTGAGGCTCCCCTGGTCCTGACGAGTCTGAGTCAGAAGAACCAACACTTCCTCCTGAATAGTAGCCACATATATGTATATTTGCTTTTTGCTGGGATGATATTGTAGACTCAAAAATAATACAACCAAGACAAGCCGGCATCATGCAGGATGAGTCTGATGTATTTGTTTTAAAATCCGGTCTTCCCCTCCTGTCGTTGAACTGGTTCTTTATATTCTGCCCGGTGTGGCTAATATTTGGTCGCTGGCTGGCTTGCTTTCCTTTTTCCTTTCTTTCTTTCTTTCTTTCTTTTTCTTTTTAAATCTCCTTTCTTCTTTCCCTCCATTTTTCCTCTTTCTCTTTGAAGTTAATGATATTTTTGTCTTCTTCAGCAGGGATCATTGTATTATACAAGACTAAAACTTTAGCTACAGACTAATTTTTCTTTCAAGTTCACAGCTGGATTTAGCAACTTTTACAGGCTACCAGACTTTCCTTTGTTTTTAGAATTAAAGAATGTTTTAAAATACCGATGCCATGGAGCATGGTGGTACACACCTATAATTCCAGCCCTCAGGAGGTTGAGGCAGGAGGTTCACAACTTCAAGGCCAGCCTGGACTATACATCCTGAGACCCTATCTCACCCCTGAAACCAGTTACATTAATTATTTATAATGTACATCTACAAAATGTACATCACTGTCATATTGATATAGGGGGAAGAGATGTAACTCCCAAACCTGCTGGAATCCAGAAGTTGAGTTCGTATTCTCTAAAATCGAAGAATGAATTCTAGAAACAGCAGAGGTTAAGAGTAGGAAAAATTTAGATGGAAAGGGGATCGGAAAATGGGTTTCCCCTCAAAGGTGTTTTTCTTATCCAAATACTCTCTCAGCATGATTTGCTATTTTTGGATTATAGAAGCAGTTTCCTTTTCGAGTTTTACAAATCCTCAGTTCTGAATTTTGTTCATTTACATCTCTGTTGGCATGCAGGAGCTCTTCGTTGAGCTCTTCTCTGTGATATCTAGACATAAGAAGCAAGAACTGAACAGGACACAGCATCCAGTCTCTAAGTACTTCCGAAGTAAGGTTCTGCTTTGAGAGTTAGTGACGTTTTCCCTGTTTGAACCCAGCAAACCAGTGCTTTCTCAACTTCCTGCCTACCGAATCTGTATAGACCTCAGTTTTTTTGTTGCGCACCCATTCAAGTGCTATAACTTTTGTGTTTCAGGTTCGTGTAATTGCATCGCGACAACTTGTTTTTAATTTCTTTACTGATTATAGAAACCCTATATTTAGAATAACTCATGCAAATATGCAATAGATCCTATTTCTCACCTAACAATCACAACCGTTTGGTTGGGGTATCATCATAAATATTATGTGAGAGGAGTTAAGCAAGCAAGAGAAATTATTCAAGGGCATTGAAGTGTGTGAGAGAGGTTGGTGGAAGGAGGGGGAGATGGAGAGGAGGGAATGGAATGGAAAAAAGAAAGGAGAGATGGAAAAAGACAAGAAAGAGACTGAACTCAATACCTCTGAGACAATTGGTGGGAGATCTGTTCACTTCTGGGGTAAGCCAGCCTAAAAGTGCTGGCGGTTGTGGTGGGGTGTGTTGGTTAATGGGATGTGTGGAGCACGTTAATTTACTTTTGAGTTTGCAAATGTTCCTCTCTGTGATTAGGCATCTGGGTTTGCTAATTGGCTGCCCATTGAAGTTTGCTTCTGCCCCCCTAGAAAGATCAGGAAATGCTGGCATTATCTTTTTCCATTTTAGTCTTCTATGATGATTTCTAAGTCCTTGGGAAAGATGTTTTCTAGGCTATAAAACTGGCAGCAGCCTGAAAGAAAATTTACACCCACTTCAAAGGGGCAGAGAAAATTAATAAATTGCAAGTTTTCTAAAGCAAGTGTTGTAAGAATAGAAGGTCAGGTGGTATTGTCGGAGTCCATAACTGAAGTCTCGGCTAGATGAAGGCAACACTTAGATGTGATGAGACAGAAGATGGTTGAATGTTAAACATAGTCATTCAGGATCCACACTGGTGACTATATTATATTTAACACAGACTTTCAGGGCCCAGTGTCATCACTGGCTGAAAGGGAAAGAGCAGAAGGGTGATGCATGCAAATATTTATTGTTTAGGACTAGCAGTGATTCGCATCACTTTTGCCCATAGTCCATCCCTGAGACTGGTAGATGTGGCTCTTCTGTCTTCAGAAAGAGCTGACAGTTACGGACTTGATTTGAGAGAGGAGATAATATGGATTTGGGCGACCAGCTAACAGTTTTTGCCACATTGGAGTGTTTCCCAGACTGTGTGTTATTTCAACAACCAAATACTATATATAATGTTGTTTAAATACTGTGACAACAAAGTGTGAAGCAAGTATCCCTGTTCTCGTTGTATGAAGGAATACTGAGGCTTAGAAGAATGAGTAGCTTTCTCAAGGTTCTACATACTTCGTGCTGTTCACTTTTATGGCACACACAGATGTATGTACATGTGTGTTATATGGACCATGAAAGACAGAGTAGACTGTTTTCCACTTAGATTTTGTTCCTCATAGGAACTGATAGCAGAATAACATTTAAATTCTACTGTATAGCTACAATCTATTATAGCTTTGCCAGTTCTTCCTTAACATGATTCCACCTTTAGAAAACTTCTATTATCCATCCTCCTTCTCTTTCTCCATCTCTCATTACCTTACAATACTTAGGGTGAGGTTACCCAAGCCTCACTGAAATAATACATCCTTCAACTACGAGACATACACCTTCAGCAAGTTAAACATTATGTACAGAAGACAAGAAGAATAAGATTTTTGGAACTTGACTCTCCAATTCATCTATTCATCTGTTGAAATACTTTAATCACTGAAAATAAGATCAGAGATGGGAAGAAGACAGATGGGAAAGGAATAAGTAAATGAACATATCTTGAAGTCCAGAATGATAGGGAATAAAGAAGCAGAATAATAGTAAAAGAGCAGGAATAATTGTAAATTAAATGAAAAGAATACTAAAGTGGGAGACCCGAGCTTCAGTTTTTGTGTATCTTCAGTAAATTAAATTTAAAATGATAAACAATATGAGTTGAGAAATTTTAACCTTTTAATTAAGATAAAAATGGTAAATTATTCAAAGGAGGGAAAGATACATGCCTTCTAAGTTTTCCTTTTTTTTTGTTTTGTTTTGTTTTGTTTTCTGAGACAGACTATGTAGTTTTTTACATACAGACTATGTAGTTGAGACTGACCTGGAACTCACTCTGTAGCCCATGCTGGTCTCAAACTCACAGTGATCCTCCTGCCTCAGCCTCCCTGCTGGGATTACAGGCGTGCGCCACCATGCCCAGCTAAGTTTTCCTCTTTGAACATCATGCTGTGAGCATGTTATGCATATTTTGTACAGTAGACTGAATCCATGCAATTCAAGTATATGAAGGCCTTTTCTGAGCAATGTGCAGCTATTTTCTGCCATAGAGGGTATACCATGTAACTCAAGGTAAGATCCACATTTTATGCCAAATCATGAGCATTGCTAAAATTTTCCACATCTAGGACTGATTTTATGTTTTTTTTCAGAGATAATTGAGCTCACTTCATATAAAAAACAGTGAGGCTGTTATCTGTTTACATCACAAGTTGCAGTAATATATATATTTACACATGTACGCATACATTTTTCTAGTGATTTCTAAAGCCTTCAACAGAGTGTAGATTTTCCTTTAGTGATAATATGAACAGTATTTGCAGATTTTCCATGTATTTCGATACTGTGAAATTATATTTCAATGGGAATTTAATATTAAATATCAGTAAAAAGAACAAGATATGGAACTACAGTAAGAAAAACACTCATAGGAATTATTACTCTGATTTTTGTAGATGTGTATATCCATGCAAACATAATTATTGATCAAGCCCTCTTCTAGATGATCAAGAAATGGTAGAGTTCAGAAAAGAAAATCCTTCATGAAATTTTTATTCAGTGCCACGCAACTACAGCATATAGCTTTAAAAAATACACATTTAAGAGAAAAATTTTTGATACATATTCATATGAATGTTTATTTTGCCTTATAAATACCGTTTACTGAAAACATGTACTAATAAAAATGAATAAATGAATGTCCCCAAAATGATATTAACCTTTGGAGAGAAAAACAGGGAAGACAGCAGAGGAATTTAAATGATCTCAGAATTTCCCAAGAGAATATAGAGTGGTATTGAATGAAATACAAACACAAATGTTTTCACCGTAGGGAAGTGGCACGTGTGGATTCAGCAGGTGGGAAATGAGCCTGATGTTTCCCCAAATGCTTAGGGTGCCAGCTACTGTGGGGACCCTGGGGAGGAGGCTGCAAATGGGACCTCCAGAGTCTGCTAGCAGACCCTTTGGATTTGGCATTGTCCCTTCCCCATGCGTCCAAGTGTCTACCTCTAGGAGGTGAGCAAAGTTCCTTTGTCTGGGAAAACTGGAGAAAAGAAGTTCTCCACCTAAGGGTGCAGAAGGAAGTCAGGAATGGAGCAGGTGGTAAAAGTAGGAATAGAGGGGGATGTGACAACTGGAAGGTGGGATCTCAGTATATTGCTCCAGTAAAATGTCATCTGTGAAGTATTCTTTCCTTTCCCCAGCCCAGATGGTTAAAAGCTTTTGTCTCATGAATCTCTCTTGCCTTGAGAAAAGGGCAATTTGTTCCACATGTGATCTCCCAGTTTCTCAGGGCTGCTCTCTTGCTTAGTTATGGAAGCAGGATTCAGAGTTGCTATTGGGCTGTGCTCCTGCATGCACTATACTTACTCTCTTTAATGAAGCCTCTGGGCTAAATATTCTGTAAAATATCTCCCAGACCATATGTATATCATTCCAATGGAGAGTGAACATGGGAAGATATTTTGCAGAAAAATCAATTGAATTTAATGCTATTCTTCCTCAACTGTCCTATATCAATTCAACTAGTGTTTAAGGGACAACTTTCAAATTGGACTGAACACCTTCCCGCAAAAATTTTGGAATCGACAGTGCTTTACCTCTTTATACAACTCCCCATTCAGTTCTTTAGAAGATTTTTTAAATGAAGGTTAGGAAATGCAGCAAAACCCAACAATCAGCTGCTTTCAATTTCAAAGTGCAGAGGACAAGAGGATATAAGGTTGAAAAGTATTTTAGTTATTTGATCAAATGAGGTTATATATTTTTAAAGGATTTTTCCCTTTTCTGTGCCTTTAAATGGTTCTCTGAATAGTCTATTAATAAATGCAAATGATGAGCCTCTTTTCCCATTAGTTTCTTCTTTTTCTTCTCTTCTGAGGCATATAGTGTGCATTAAAAATATTTTGATTAAAGAAGCTGTTTTCACAGAAAATTTCATAAATATTGGCATTAAAAAGAACAGCTTGTTGTCCAAAAATGTATGACTACTCTTCACCTAGGAAGTAGTGTATTTCCTAATGACAATGGCATGAGCCCAGTTTTTAAAGTTTAAATGCCTAATCCTTATTTTGTTTCAGTTTTCTTGAAAATGAAGAACCAGGCAAACCTTCATAATGTACTAAGATCTTAGTTTTCCTTTTTTTGGACATTTTAATTCCTCTTACAACTATCATAAACTTACAGCTCTCATAACTTTATCTAATGAGAGATTTTCTGTTTGACCTGTTACTTTGCCTAAGCAGATAAGTGATCTTAAAGTTATATTAAAACTTCGTTACCAATACTCTGACAAAAAGAAACTCTCATTCTAATGTAAATAAACCTCTTTTGCATGTGATGACTCAAATTTGTCCTGTTCTTTTTAGTTTGTTAAAATAAAAGCCACAACCTAGCAGATGGTTAAAAAATCTTTGATTGTTCTGCAGAGACACATAAAATAGAAGATGTTACTTTGGTCTGTCAAAACTTGTTTCTGATTACAGCTTTAAATATAACCTTAGCCTCACTATTTCAAATTATAGTATAGAATTCTCTTCCTAAAACCACAGTGAAAGTATTTTTTTTTAATTTTAAGCTTTAACAGATTATGTTGAGTAAGCTAAAGTACAATTGTACTCTTTAACTGTGTGTGTGTTTTTCCCCCCTCTGGAGCATAATTTTTCACATTATATATATTTCATACAATATTGAATATTTCACATAATGCATTTAAAAGGTAATTTTAAATGTATCCACACATTCTGCAAAATGTCTTTATCCCATAATCCTCTTTCCCCCTAGCTTTTTAATACATGATTGCAACTAAAATACATTGTCCAATTTTGACCCACTTTTAAAATTCTTTAAGAATACTGTTGAAGAATGCACATTATCTTCCACTTCATCGCTACTGACTAAATTCAGATAGAGTCCTAAAGCATGGATTCAGGAAACTATCCAAGACGTACGTTAGTTAAACTTGGGCCTGTCAGGGGGATGCCAACCTGAGAACTTACTCTGGTTTCTCATGTAGTATGAGTGTCCGAGTGTCACTGCCACTTTTTCTGTTTTGTTTTGTTTTCTAATTTTGATCTTAATCTTTTTTCAGTAACAGGGAGAAAGAGGATGAGTTACGTAGACAAATCTCAAGGATGGTCAAGGAGAAATCTCAAGAAGAAAAGAGGGAATGAAACTATGAAGTAGGCAGGTATGTGTGTTCCTGCGGGTATATCAGTGAAGTTCGGCTTTTCACCCTGATCCAAAGTAGCAAAACATGGCCATATGTCTATGTATTTTACATGTATGGATATGTTTTAAGCAACATCAATATTCCCTAAATATTATGAGTTAAATACAAACCTCTGGAAATACACAGACATAATTGGTTAATGTAAATAGAGAAGAAGAAATTTACCCATTATATCTTTTTTAATATTTCAGTATATTCACTTGCCTTTATTGTAATATGAAAGATGCTCAAGTATTCCTTCTGTTTCTTTGTTTCCTAGTATATTTCTCTCTCAGCTTTCCTTCAGAACAGTTTTTAGGTATGTATTTAAAAATTTTGAGTAGTACTGATAAAGGACCTTCAAATGCTGTAGGAAAAATCATACAACTCCCAACCTGTTAGATGTCAGAAGTGCTCAGTTCATCTTCTCCAAAATCATAGAATGAATTCTAAGGAACAACAGGTTCAGAGTAGAAAATATTTATTTAGAGGGAGAGATTTTAGCTCCTGAGAGACAAGAGGGTTACCGAGTGGGTTAATGAGGACCCCTCTTCACAGGAGAAATTTTATAGAGCAAAATCACAAGTTGGGACAAAACTGTGATCAACCAATAAGATTACATGTATAACTGGTAAGGTAATAGTGATCCAATGGGGAAGCTGGTTATATAGTAAGTATATATGGAAAGATCTAGGCTTTATTGGGCCAGAAGTTACCACTTATCCCCTAGGAACAGATGTAGGCCTGGTTGTTTCATCTTTGTCTTGAGCCCTGGCTCCAACACAGGTGCCTCTGGCCATAGTTGTAATGTGCTTTCATCTTCAGCATTGACTATCTCAAGGGCTCAGTCTGACTGCCTACAATATTTCTACCTAATTTAGCTGTCTACAACAGTACATATTGGTAGTGCATAATGATTACATTCATCACTAGAAGTATGTATATGGATATAACTCCTCTAAATTGTTTTTAAGATATATGGTATTTAACTTGGCAAACCACTTTTGGGTTATTTCTGGTAATAAAATTAAGTAAAAAGTCAAAGCTTAGGAACAATATATGAGAGTGAAAATAAAACATAATTATTTTGCGAAGGTTATGTGCGCTAGTTTGGGTCAGACTGGCCTTTTCCTACATTTATAACCATCCTACATGATCACGTAGATCCATGTTTGAATATTTCAGATTTTCAAGAAATTCGAAATTCAATGAAATTATAGAAGTATACTGTATTTCTATGAATCTTGTTTTTACTTGCAATGTATAGGTTATAAGAGTGGAAATACAGAATCATACTGAAAAGCATTATATTTTACATAAATTGAGCTTGTTACAAGACCTAAAAACCTTATTTAGTGCATTTTTTCCTTCTTTATTTTCAGCTCCAACTCCAGCTCTCTTTGGAGTTACAGGGGAATTAGTATAATTTGAACACTCTCATGGACATATTTATTTTATTCTTTTTTTTTTTTGTACCAGGGATTGAACTGAGGACTTGTACTTGCAAGGCACTCATGGTGCCACTGAGCTAAATCCGCAGCTCTGGACATACTTACTTTTATCCCAAGGTGACTCACTGTTCTTTTAAGCTTAGATTTTATGATTCATGATGATATTGCCACTTCTTACTACTTATTACTCTTTTTCAAATAATCTCAAATCTACACTCAGTGAATCAAACCCCCACCTTTTCTGGGCTTGTACTGATGTTGCTAAATATTGTTAGAGGGGAAAACAAAGAAAAAACAAAAACCCCAGTCATTTTAATGTCCTTATAAATGCATAATCATTACCCCAAACAGGACTCCATTTCTCTATGAAGTTACATGCTCAACAAATCATACTCTCTTATAACTCATCAAATGTCTTCTGCTATGTTTCTCTAATTCATTGGGAAATAGAACTTTTACCGCGCCTTCCCCAGATTTATATGCTGTATCTGTATTTATCTTTTCCCGTAATCTTTAAAGAGGAGAAAGTATCTTTCTTCTTTTTAGTAACCGGTAGTTCTTCCCTTCATTCTGACAGAATTAGCCCTTTCCTTTTCACGGACTTTTCTCCTGCATCTGCGTGCTCCTTTGAGTCAGCTGATTTTACATCTCAAATGATTGTCCTCGAAGTCTAGCTATGGTTTGTCCTCCACCAGTTCCGATCATGTACCCTTCGTTATTTTGTCTCACTGTTTTGTTAAAGTGCTGTTGGCACTTCGTCTCATTTCTTTAAGCTTTGTCTCCATCCGGCTTCACCTCCAACCTCTTTGCTGATCTACTACATTGGCTAACAAGGACCCTATGTTGCCAAAGTTAACAAATTATCACAAATTTAGTGTCTGAAATGAGAAAACATTGTTCTCTTACAGATGTAGAGGTCATAAGCACAAAGTGAGTTCAACCAAACTAAAATCCGTGTTTGTTGATTCTAGCAGTTATAGAAGAAAATCTATTATTTACTTTTTCTATCTTCCAGCAGATGCCCTAATTCTTAAACCAAGGCCCTACATCACATTTTTTTTTCTGTCATTTTCTATCATCACGCTGCTTTCTGAATTTTTCTGACTGTATTTCTTCTTTGTCTCTTCTATGAGAACAATTTTGATTACCTTGTGCCCACCTGGAAAATTCAGGCTAATCTCCCCAAATCAAAACTTTAACTTTCTATCTGAAAGGTCCTTTTTGCAGTAACAGTTAAATTTGCAGGATTGTGGGATTAGTATGAGGCATATTTGTGGGCTCGCCGTTCAGCCTATCTATCCACAGTGTCTTTGATAAGAGTGCGGTTTTCCTAAGGACTGACTCAGAAGCTTAATTTTTTCCATTGCCATCTTAAATACTAGTACTGTATTTCAAGTTTGAAGGGGGATAGCATAAAAGATCACCAAGGGAGTGTGTTTGAGTTAAGGCTAGAAATGATAGCTATCACTTCCTCTCATATTCTGTTGACTAGGGATATTTTACATATTCAATTTTAACTGCAAAAACAAAAATTGGAAGTAATGTTTAGTTGTGTGTCCAGAAAGAAGAAGCTTATAGGACAGTCTGCTATATTATTCTAGGAATGAGTTTTGATTTTATATTTCCACTCATCCTTCCAACTAATGAACACCTGGACTCAAATCTGTGTTCTGTTTCTTCTGTTCACTAAAATCTTGTTGCCATCATATGTTTACTTCAAAATACTTGCTAAGCACTTGCAGATAATTAGGGACTCTGGTAGACCATAAATATTGTTTTGATATCTCTGTTCAATTAGAACTGTTGGTTTTTTGTAAAGATAAGATCAGAAAGAAGATGCAGAAATACAAAAATTGTTCAGTAATCCAAAGAAAAGATGATGGCTAAATTACATATGAGAGAAATTTGGAAGAATTTGAGATAATATGAGGGGGAAGGAGTCAGCAAAATTTCTTATATTATTTCAAAATCCAGTTAGAATGTGGTTTCAGATGCTGACAAACAGGAATTTTAGGATTTGGTAGAAAAAGGATGTAAGGTTTAGTGTTGGATATACCAATAATCAGAAAACTGTAAAACATTCAAATAGACATGAGCAGAGGACTGCTGGACAGGAGATCAGAAGTGATGTAGACAGAGGGGTCTGGCCTACAGGTATAGACTCAAGAGTGGAGCACATAATAAAATGTCTCGAGTAAATTAAATTACCAGAGACAGCACATAGAATAAGAAGAGAAGGCATGTAGCAAATGCAAAAGATTAATAATGATTTGTGGAACCTTTTGCAAAATAGTACGGTAGAAGCATTAAAATGACTAAATAAGATCAAAGAGGAAAATCCAAGAAAGTATGATATTGAAGAATCTAAAAGAAAGTGATTCAAGAAGAGTAGTAGTTTAGAATTTTAAAGACAATAAAAATATTAAAATTTTCAGGTTAATCTAGTATTCTTTTACTAATACTGAGCTTTATATTATACCTAAGAATAAATTAATTACTCTTGGTTGTTTTTATGCAAAACCAGAAACAAAAATCACAAGCTCTCCATTTCTTAAGCTTGCAGCATTGTTTATTAAATATAATGTAATTTTATGTGTCATCCCCCTTAAGAGTTAAACATAATATCTTCTATTAGTTTGCTATCAGCTCCTAACAACTCTTGAAGTAACATAGAAAAAAAAACATTTACAAAATTTTAGGTTGTTCTTTATTACTTGGCTGTGTAGAACCATGTAAGCTTATCCAACTACTCAGTCTTCCTGAGGTACACAAGGCTCAGTGACTTCTTCCTGGGTCCAAACTCATGCACCTTTGACGTTGTCCATGATATAGTTACTTATAGATAGTCTTTATGTATTCCTGAACAGTTTTCACAGCTTGCTTTTGTGAGTAAATACCATGGAAAGCAACATGTCTTGAGATACATCTACATTGGTTTGAACATAATACCTTCTTTAGAACTTCTGAGTTCAAATGTTTCCTTAAATCACCACTGGTCCCTCCTGTTTTCAGTGCAATTATTGGTTAGTTCTATGAGTACACACCCTTATTTCATTTTTGTTTCTCATTATTTTCCAAGGTGAAAAATGCTTACCAGTATGAATTTTAAACCTCAGTCTGCTATTTTCAAAATTTATCATTTTATTCACTTCCATATTTATAGGAGTATATCTTCAAGTAATTTTCATATGATCTGTGCATCTCATATTATCTGAGCCTTTGCCTATCACTGAGTACAATTCCTGTGTCTTCATAACATTAACTTCATTAATTATGTGTTTGCCAGATTCTCTTGGTTAATCATTAGTTTTTAAATGTATGTTGTTATGTTATTGGCCATATTAAGCCCAATATTCTTAGTAAATAGCTCTGTTATTTTGCTAACTTTAGATACTTGTAGAAATTTATTCTTCAAAGTGTAACACATATGTGTTTACCATTACAATGTGTTTTTCTTTTGGCATATTATGATTTCATGTCCAATTTTCTGATTTGTTTTATAAGAGGATTATTTTGTTGCAATTTTGTGATTTCATTCATTTTACTCTGCATAAATGTTACTGTTTTCTTTGGTGACATCCAAGTTCCTTAAAAGTTTACATAGCAAATTAAAATGTGATTTAATGTTTAGATTATTTGTATTCTCAGCTTACTATCCTGGAAAGTGGTTAGTTCAACAGGACTCCCTAAGGGAAGAGGAATCCAGTTTCCATCCAAAAAGAATATTTCCTTTATCTTTCATATCAAAATTGAGCCAATAACTCACCATGTTTCAGTCTGGAAAAAAGGAAAAGAAGGGAGGGGAAGGCTGGGAAATTTTCTTCTTTTCAGGTAGTTACTGCAAATTTTTAATTTCATTCACGTAATCAATAAGATTGTAATTACATCATCATTATTATCTGAAAGAAAAGCTGAATCATGCCAAATTTATGTAGATACTCTATGCTCAATTAAGACTATTACTGTAAAAGAAAGGAAAATAGATTTGGATTGTTTCAAGCTCTAAAGATTCTGCTTACAATTCCAGCTCCTATAATTTTTCTCTAAGAAAATTTCTCTAACTAATAGGTATCAGCTACCATTCTCCTTTTCTTTGATGGGGTAAAGTAAAATTTTCTTTAATTTTTAACTATATCTTTGACAAGTTGCTATTGACTTCACATTTCATAATACGATGGTTGATTCTCCTGCTTACATCTGCAAACATGATCCTCTGTCTTTTTGTAGTCCCTAAATGTGCATAAAAAAGGACTACTAGCATGAAATTACCTTGGACCTATTTAGAGAATCACTGAAAAATTTATAGCAGGAAAAATGCAAGATTGGAAGTAGGATCCAAGGGACATCTACCACTGGTCCATTGAATGACTGTGAAATGATGCTACATGGAATGGCTAGAGATACTGTAGTTCAGGTACAAAGAAACAGGTTACTTTCTATTAGAGATTAAAACAAACTTTGGGAACACTGGGGAGTATAGAAATGAAACTTTATGACAATGTTCAGATAGATTTTGAAGTTCTTTACCCATGCTGTTTCTCTAAGTAGGGAGAAGCTACCTGATCAGTTACTCAGGGATCGTTTTTTCTGAGGCTTTAGACCATAATTGCCACTGCATCCATTAGAATTATACATTTCACCTACGGAACCACTGTAGCTATGGGTAGTTTTTAGTATATTTTCCCAGGCGATGTTTCTTAGAGAAGAAACCATATTTGCTCTATCATTGTGCGTGGCAGAAGGCTACATATTTAGGAAAAAAAGTCACTGAAAAAAATCTGTGTGTTTTGGGTTTAGAGAAATTGTCTTGAGTTTTACAGTGCCATTATATTAGTATACTGGGTGATATGGGAAATACAAAATTATGTAAAGTACACATTCCTTATCCACAAACATAACGTTGTACTTGTGATGTGAAATAAAAGAGCTTCTGTGTACAAAAGAGTTGCAATGAAGAATTTAGTATAGATAACGATATTTTTAAAATAACATTTTAGAACTCCCTTTGGGATTGGTCTTTGCATGAGAAGTACAGAGTTATTTTCTGAAGATAACTCATTTTAATTTCATGGGGATATAGCAATGTATTTAGGTGGCAAATCGCTAAAAGCTTTTTTTCAAGTTTATTAAATATTATATAGAAGCAAATTTTCTAGTGTCATGTATATTTAAATGAGAGGTGACAACAATATGAAGAAACTGACTGTAGCCTATTTAAAAGAATGCAGAAACAAAAACCACAACAATAGCTTCTATAAGGTAGGAAAACAAAGAATGTAAAGTATTCACATTAGTATAAAGTTAATAAAATTCAAAGTTTGTTTTGAAAATCTTGGAAATTAATTAGTAAAATTTATCTGATGAATAGATGGCGAGGATAGTTTACCCAAGAAAAATTACGGGAATCTGATTTTAATTACTATGAAATTTTATAGAGTTTCAAATTTTACATAAATCTGATTAAACAAAATAGAGCGTGGAGATAGAGCCCAATATGTATGCAAATTTATTATATGATAATTAGAAATATGGAAAAAAGACTTAGATTACTATTTCATATTTGTATTAGTCATTTTTGTCATCCTTGAGGCACCTGTAATTTAGAGAATGACAGACTTATTTTGCCTCAGTTTTAAACATTTCAGTCCGAAGGTCTCGTGTGGAGGGAAGCTGCTTACATCATGCAAACCAGGAAACAGAGAGAGAAGGGAGGAACCAAAATGAGAATACATCCTTCCAAGTTATGCTGCTCAGTGACCCACCCTTTCCATAAAGCCCTCATCTTCAAATATGAGACAAATATGAGACTGTCAAGGTCTTAGATCGAAACCACATCATTCTGCCACTGGTCTCCACAATGCTTACTTCCATCTCATTATGAAAATTGCATTCAGTCATCACCAAAATCTGAAACAGTTCTAGCACTGCTAAAAAGTCCAAGTCCAAAGTCTCCTCTGAGGCTCAAGGCAAACGCTTCCCTCTGTAAAAAATAAAAAAGAAACATTTCTATCATGCAGTAGCACAGGGTCAAATTCCTATTCCAAAAGGGAGGAATAGGAGACTAGAGTAAAGTTGGACCGCTCAAAACTGAAGCTCAGCAAGGCAAATGTTAAATGCTATAGTTCTATGTGTTGCACCAGAAGCAGGTAGTGGCTAGATGAGAGCTCCAAAGAGCATGGGCATCCCTGTCTTTATCGTCTTTCTGGTTGCAGCCACACGATCTCTTTCTTTGGGTAGCTGTATTGACTTCCTGCAGCTTTTCTCAGCAGCCAGGGGCTCCCCACTGCACCTTCACCTTTGTTCTCACAGCTTCTCACACTGCTCTCATGGTACAGTCTGTAACCCTGTTATACATATTTTTCCCCCTGGCCTTGTAAGAGTTCTTCTGAAATCTGAATGAAAGTCCTCTGTGCACACCTTTTGCATTCTGCATGCCCATAAATTTAACACCAGTGGGTAATATGCAGGACAGCAATCTGATTGAGCAGTAGTCAGGACTCTTTGGACCATGGCTGTAGTGGCCCTAGATGGCTAAAATTTGGAATAGACATTTCTAGGTGGTCCCAAATGAGCAGGCACCCCTGATATTCTCTTCTTACATGAAAGATTTACAGTTTTACTCTCTTGAGCCTATTCTGGTTTCTTGACCCTCGCTGATATCTTAGCTGCTCTCACACATTTATTCTTCTCCCTGTAGAAAATACTTTGCTTCTTCTTTATGCTAATCTTTCAGTAATCATGTTCTCCTTTATTACAACTTTGCAGGTGCTGCTTTTCTGACAAAACTGTCAACATTTGGAGTCATTCAGCTATATTTTGGTTCCTGACTCCTACTGTAAATCTGGCTGTGATGAGTCAGCAGTACTCATACTACAACTTGAACATTGGTTTGCTTTGAAATTTCATCCTCTAGATCAGTCTACCACCTTTAAATTCAGCCTCACAAAAATCTTACAATATGAGCAAAGTAAAGACAAAGTTTCTTCCACAGCTTGATCCAAATAGACTCTGATCCAGTTTCCAATAAATTCCTTTTTCACAATTTGAAACCATATAGTTTGATCTTTAATGTTCTCATTCCTATTAGTATTTTATTCTGAATTCTGATGGGTATCACAGGTCAAACTATAGCACTTTTATACTTTGCCAACTGGCATCACCAGACTTTTCCAAACTCCTCCACAAGCTAGATCCAGAGGCCCCTGAACCACTTGGTCAGGTAAAGTCACATGAATGGCCCACTTCTAATTCTAATTTTCTCTGTTAGTTACTTTCACATGGATGGGACAAAATACCTGACACTTACAACTTAAGGAAAGAGTGGTTTTATTTTGGCTCACAGTTGCAGAAATTTCAGGACATTGTTGGCATACTCCAGTGCAGAAACAGAATGGAGGGAAGGTCTGATGTGGAGGAAACCTGCTCATATCATGGGAGTTAGGAGAGAGAGAGAGAAGAGGGGGTGAGGAGCCCAGAGCAAATATGTAACCGTTCAAGTCACATCCCCCAGCACCTACAGCTTCCCACCCAGGCTCCACTTCCAAACATGAGATTTTGTGTGATATTTTAGGTCCCAACCATACATTACTACATAAACTAAATTTCTATGAGTTCTACTTCTGATCTTTCAAATAATTCTCAATTTAAAAAAAAGTATGGATGGGGTTATGGAGCACAGTGATAGAGCTACTGCTTAGAGTGTGTGAGCCTTGGTTTGCTCCTCCCCAATGCACACAAGTATGTTAAGTATTTTTCAAATTTTTGAAGTTTGTATTTCTCTCCTGTGAATAGTGTAATAAAATTTAAATAATGAAAAGTTAAAGTTGGAATATAATAGATATCATAGCAAAATCAAAATTATATAGAAAATCATATAGAATATTCATTAATATTTTTCATCCTACAGAAAGTTTAAATAACCGTAGCTTATAAGAATCTTTTAATAAAATTTAAATAATGAAAAGTTAAAGTTGGAATATAATAGATATCATAGCAAAATCAAAATTGTATAGAAAATCATATAGAATATTCATTAATATTTTTCATCCTACAGAAAGTTTAAATAACCGTAGCTTATAATAGAATCTTATCTATATAAATTATATTATTTCATATTAATTTGATATTCATTATATATTATATTTTTAAAATCTGAAATGAAATTTAGATCAAATTCCTCTTGCCATAATGGAGAATCTTTTTTGTATTGATTCTCTTTCTCTTGAAATATATAATAATTAATAAATTGTGTTTTTATAAGTATATATTTGGATGAGCTTTTAGTTGGTCATATAACCACAAAGTCATAATTACACTCAAGGTAGTGAATATATTATCCCCAATCCTTGAATCCATGTCAAAGTTTACTAACCCTAAGTCAACTACTGTTTGCTTTCTGTCACAAGAATTTCATTTTTATTCTCTAGAATAAAAACATACTGTATACTTTTGGTTGTGTTTCTGGCTTCTTTCACTTAGCATATTTAAAATTTATTCATGTCGATTCATTTATGAACGTTTTTTTCTTCTTCATTGCTAATTAATATTTCATTATGTAGGTTTACTGAAATATGTTTAATCCTCTGCTAACTGGTAGACATTGAATTATCTCTATTTTGGAAATAATACAATTAGAAATTTTAACCATTTGTATATAGTCTTTGTATGTACATTTACTTTCTATCTGTTGAGTAACTCAAAGTAGAATTCCTTGATAATACAGTAAATGTTTAATTTGACTTCCAGAAAGCTACTAGCTCTTTCCCAAAATGCTTGCTCCATTTTACTTTTTCTTCATCTAGTGCATAAGTGTTCCATGTCTCCAAGACCTCAGTGATAGTTAGAACAATCAATATTTTAATTACAGTTTGTATTACATATATTGTGATAGATCATTTTGGTTTTAATTTGCATTTCTCTATTGTCTAGTGATGTTAATGATTTTATATGCTTATTTGCATACTATATATCTCCTCTGTACATTATCTATTCAAATCTTTTGTCTATTTCCCATTTGGTTTGTTTTCTTATTCCTGAATTTTGTTTTTCTTGGAAATTCTGTTTCTTTATCATACATTAATTGGAAATCCTTTATCCTGGCCTCTGCTTGTCTTTCATTTTTTTCAGTGGGGTCATTTGAAGAGCACTTTCAATTTTGATGAAGTCTAATTAATAAATTCATTCTTTTATTTATTGTACTGTTAGTGTTTAAGAAATCTTGCCTCTAATAAGGAAATAAATATTTCTTCCACATTTTATTCTAGGAATTATTCAGCATTGTATATTTATGTATAAAATTGTTTTTAATGTTTTGTTTTGGTGCAACACAGAAATCAAAATGTAATTTTTTCTTTTATATAAAAATATCAGTTTTTTATCACTTTTTGAAAACACTGTCTTTTATTCCATGCATTATTTTTGAAACTCAAAAATCATTTTTTTTGTATGTGAGCCTCCTAATCTGTCTATTTGTAGGTAAATTCAACATTATTTTATCCTTTATTTGAAATTGTTTTGCATTATCTTGGCTATCTTTGTCTATTTTAGATATTTTGCTCCCCTCAGGAGTCTTAAAATAAATTTGTTAGATTACACTTAAAAATTCTGCTGAGTTTTCATTAGAATTGCTTTGAGACAAGAGATCAATGAGGAAAGCAAAGACATTAATTTTGACAATTCCCACTTCTTAATAAATTTGATCTCTGTTTTTAGTGGTTTTTAGTTTCACTCAGCAGTATTTCTATACTAGTCATTATATTGGTCTCACGCATGTTTTCATATATATCCTTATGAATTTCATATATTTGATGCTATGCAAATGATATTCAATTTAATGACTGCTATAACAAGTAAAATTAAGTTTCATATTTTAATCTTGTATCCTATAACCTTTCTGAACAAACACAGTTTCATTAGATTTGTAAATTTCAGTTTACTTTGGCTTATTTGATTAAGTTGTCTTCAAATAAGGGCAGCCTTACTTCTTTCCTGTGTGGATGATTGTTATTTGTTTTACTTGTCTCTTTGCACTGACTGTCACCTCCAGGATCACAATAAAAAGAAGTGGTGAAAACAGCCCTAATCTTAGGGGAAAGACATTGTTTTTCACCTTTATGTGTACTGTAGGTCATGAGTTTATGGTAGATATCTTCTATCGGAATTGACACTCTATGCTTGTATCCCTAATTTGTTCATAGTTTTAGTCAGAAATGGATTTTAATGTATTCAAATGCTTTTTTCAATGTGTTTGATCTTAATTGAATTTAAATGTTAAGCCAAACACATTCTGGAAATAAATACAATGTAGACGTACTGCTATTCTTTTCGTGTATTTTTAAATGTTATGTGCTACATTCCATCAAACACTGGACAATAATTTTAGATTCTTGTTTCTTTGTAAGTTTTTTTCTGGCTCAGTTGGGGTTTGTTTACACCACTTGAGTGTTTTGCGAGTATCTTTATAGTATTGGTGCTGTATCTTCCTTAAAAGTTTGGTTGAATTCATGAGCAAATTCATACAGGTCTTGGAGATTTTTATTTCTTTTTTCTTTTCCTGTGTTTGGAAAGCTTTTACTACTGTGTAAATTTCTTTAATGTATTCAGTGATATTCATCATTGTTATTTGAGAAGGATGGTAAAAATCTATGCCTTTTACTCCACTTTGGCAGAATTGAAAACACTCACTATTGTCTTGTCATGATTACTTTTTGCATGAGAAATGTTCTTTTCCCAGGATCATTTATTTTATCTTACTCTTTTTTATATTCATGATCACTTGTAAGCAATATTATTGAACATTTTATGTAGTTTTACAATTTTTGTTTTTAAACTGGAGAATTTATAACATCCATTTGACCCAGCCATCCCTCTGCTGGGTATCTTTCCAAAAGAATTAAAAGAATCATACCACAGTGATGTATGCGCACCTATGTTTATATCAGCAGAGCTTATAATAGCTAAAACTTGGAAACAGCCCAGTTGCCCATCAGTTGGAGACTGGATAAACAAGATGTCATTTTGCTATAAAATGGAATACTACTCAGCCATAAAGAATGAGAAATTAGAGTCATTCATAGGAAAATGGTTAGATATTGAGGTCATACTCTTAAGTGAAATAAATAAGTCACGGGTAAATACCAAATAGTTTCTCTGATGTGAAAAACTAAAAGTGTAAATAAGATCCAAATGGCATAATTGACAGTGTGAGATAGGAAGAAAAGGTTAAAGGTGTAGGGGAAGTGGGAATGAGAGGGGAAAGGAATAAGGGAAAAGAAAAAATATGAGAAAATGAAAAAAATAGAAAAAAAAGTTTTTGTAAATAGGGAAGTGAGGAGGAGGTGAAGGGAGGGCAGGGGTAAGGGGAAAAAATGAGAACCAAGACCTGTCATGTAGAGGTACAAGATCCCAATGGTGGATGTAACTGTACTGTGTACCTAAAAAATACCAATAAACTCGATGAGAAAAAATAAGATGATAAAAAAAATACTGCTTAACTAGTTAAGTACCTGGACTTTCTCCTACAATCATTGTGCATTCTATTTGCACCATTTGCTTGCATTTCCCTGGCCCTCCTTTCTTTTCTTCTTTTGTTTACTTATTTGTAGAATCAAGGTTACTTATTAATTGGCTTATGTACCTCTTCACCTGGTTTTGGATTTTAGTAGATGCCATATCATCATTCTTATTCTGTTAAAAGTCTAGCCATTTTACATATACGAAACAATCGTTTTTCATGATTCTTGATTAATGATAGGTTAAATTCAAACACATTTAACAAGTGGTATCATTTTTAAGAATGCCTTATGTTTTAAAAATTTATTTACAAATATAATGATTTTAGTTTCTTTTAAATATTTTAAATGACTGAGAGCTTTAACCTGTGATCCTTATACACATATTTTACATAAATATTGATGTCTTTTAAATGGAATAAATTAAACTCAGGACTCTTAATTGGA